CTTCTGTTCTCTTGGGTAGATGCCCCCCAAGTAACCCCCAAAACCAAACTCACTGCCACGGAGTCGCTTCTGACTCATAGTGACTCTATAGGACAGGGTAGAACTTCCCCTGTGGGTGTCTGAGACTTGCCAGGGTTTACAAAAGGAGGAGGCTCGTGGTTTCAAACTGCTGACCTCGCGGTTAGCAACCCAATGCTTAACCCATGATACCACCCCAGGCATGGAATATTTGCTTATTGCTGTGTCCCTGTCCCCGACCTGGCTTCCAGGAGGCAATGTCATTCTGGCCTGCCGGGACATGGAGAAGTGTGAGGCAGCCGCCAAGGACATCCGGGGAGAGACCTTAAACCACCGTGTCAACGCCCGGCACCTCGACTTGTCCTCCCTCAGGTCCATCCGAGACTTTGCGAAGAAGATCATCCAAGGTAGGCAGGCGGGTGCTGCTCGGTTGGGGGGCCCCAGGACTGAATTGATGACAGACCCAAGCGTATTGGGGAGCGAGCCGTCGGCTGGGGCAGATCCAGTTACCTCGTGGTGGTTTTCATTCTTTTGTCAGCTCCAATCAACACACTTTTCAAGTAATATATCAGCCGCCCTCAGCAAGGGGGACTGACTGGCTTTTGGTTGGCTTCTGGTTCATTCTTGTCCGCTCCGACTCATAGTGACCCTGGGCACGAGAGAAGCAAACACTGCCCGGTCTTGGGCCATCCTCACAAATGTTCCTGTGTGCGATCCCATTGTTGCGGCCGCGGTGTCCATCCATCTCAGCGAGAGCATTTCTCTAGTTGTGCTGCTCCTCTGCTTTACTGAGCAGGACGTCCTTCTCCAGGGACTGGTCTCTCCTGACACCATGTCCCAAGTCTGTTGGATGAAGTCGCACCCTCTGTGTCAGTCTGGGTGGACTAGAGAAACAAATTCATAGACACTCATAGGTGTATAAGAAACAGCTTTATATACAAGAGCAATTGAATATTGAGAAAACGTCCAGATCAAGTGCACAGGTCTGAGATTAGCCCATATGTCTGATATCAATCTATAAAGTCCTCTTCAGACTCACGCAACACATGCAGGATTCCGAATGCAGGAAGATCACAG